TATTAGTGCTGGCCATCGAGGAGTTCTAACAAAATATCTTCTCTCTTTTTCTTACTGCGTTCAGTGGGGATGCCTGCATGTGATGACCCTAAAAACAGTTGTGAACGATGTGCAGAATGTCATTTTGACACCAGATAACAGTTTTCCTGGATCATCAGTGCTGCTGTCGAAATTCTGCACTGTAGTGTTTTACGTGGCGACATCAAGTGTGAAATATCAATGCTTAGTTGACTTGTAGAGTTGATAAATCCATCAAATGTATTATTTATTAAGCACTTTTGGAGAAACTGCTGTTCCAGGGTGCTTTGGATCGCTTCGTGCAATTTTTTCTTTGTCCTCTCTTCACAGAAAGTGCCACCGAAAGAGAAGTACGAGCTGTGGATTCGGAGTTCTCCAACAGTCTTTTCAACGACCAGTGGCGTACACTACAACTTGAACGGCAAGCTAGTTTTGTATGATACTTTCTTTTCAGCAGTGAATTTCCTCCTTAGTAAGAGTGAAACTGCTAAGGTATAAAGTGGACGATGGTAGTCGCGAAATTATTACCACCGCTAAGAACCGCAGAAGAAGCGGGACTAACCCACGCACCCTGTTTCTTTGATTGTGACATGCGCGTCAGCAATGCAAGTTTGGTGTTGCAGATCGTTGTCAAAGCCGTCGCACGATTACTGCAAATTTGGTACGGGTAATGAGAAAACATTACTTCTTGACGCTCAGGAGCAGGGAATCGAGCCTCGGGAAGCTCTGCTGGAATTCCACAACAAATATTATTCCTCGGATATGTAAGTGCTCCGATGTTTTAGCGGAGCGTATTTGTTTAGCTCAAAATATCTAACATTTAGATTAATTAAGTTTCTGTTGACTAAGTCCTGTGCGACATTTCAAGCGAAACAGCATTTTAATTTTGTTATCTCAGTATGGCGTGTTCCATTCTGGGAAAAGAGTCACTGGACGAACTGGAAGAAATGGTAACATCGTTGAGTTTTGGAGATATTGCAAAGAAAAATGTGGCAAGGAAAATTTGGGATGAGGGTCCGTACGGTGAGGAAGAGCTTGGCGCCAGAATTGAGGTATGCGAGTTTTTAATTTTTTTACGACGTTGACCACTGGTACGCTAGTGATCAGTCAAGACGACGGATGATCAGTTTGGTGTCTTACTGTGCTTCCTTTTATGAGCAGCTGTAAGGAGTCGTTAATTTGACAATGTGTTCGATTACCTACCCCCTTCGACTAGTGGTAGTGCTATGCACGCTTTCAAATTGGGAATTTTTTTAATGTGCTTTCGTTATTTTGCAGGTAGTGCCAGTGAAAGACTTGAGAAATTTAAACCTCACTTTCCCAATTCGAGATTACAGAGATGATTATCGCTCAACACCTACCAATTATATTTGTTAGTTTATATTCATTTGTTTTACCATAGCTGTTCGCAAAAATACGAAGTCGCAAAATACACGATACGTGAAATAATATGGATGAAAGAAGCAAAAGTGGCTTCGGTACCCTGCTCGCCATTCTGCCTTGTCTACGGAGACAGATCAGTAACCCGAGAAAAAGGAGCCATTGAGAACCTCAAATGGCCGAAAGATATTTTTTTTGACGCAAAATGGCTTGAACCTTTCGATATGCACCTGCAGCTGAAGTCGGTGCCGAGGAATGAACCCACCTGACCGTGTTTTTTCTGGAAATAGTGAATACCATGCGATGTCCTCAGCCCTTATAAAACCTAGCGAAGAGCCGAGCTCATCATTACCTGAAAGAGCGATAAAACGGTTCTGCACTGTGTGGGAGAAAGACAGAGAAATCATGGCAGAGTTGGATTTATTATGAGTATAAAATGATCCTCGCAAGTTATCTCCCGTCGTCTTACTCATCTTGAGCCGGCTTTTGACTTTTTGCGAAGCAAATTCTAACAAAGATCTTCACATTCGTCCAAATTCATTTTCCTGTCATGGCCTGTAATGGGCTGAAACTGAGGAGTGCTATACTGAGAACTCAGGCTGTACTTCGGAAGTCTGCAAGTTCACCAGCACTATCTTTGTTCCCAATTTGTCACACCACTAGATGTGCACTGTTCAATTCCTTTGTTGGAAGCAGTGATGTAACAGTGCGGAACGTGGTCAGTGACTGACTGTGACGGTGTAGCGAATAAAACTTGGAGGATTGCTTCGTGACCGTACATGCGTCACGCTGTCAGCCAAACGAATTATGTGTGAAATATTGTTGCGACCACGCTGGGATTTAAAACCCGGTGCACAAGACACGTTGCAATCGTTAAGTAACCACTCGGGCGGCTTTTGAAGGAATGGCGCATATCCATCAAACACGCATCGGGTATTAACTAGAAATATGCAGCTTAA